AGTAATGATGCTGAAAATACAGCTGCGCATCACAGAAATAAATTACAGTTTAACAGATATTCACACAGAAAACAGCTGGTTTAAATAGTAAAAATATTTCACAATTTCTACTGTATTTTTGATCAAATAAATGCAGCCTCGGTGAGCAGAAGAGGCTTCTGTCAACACATCTTCCTGACCACAAGTGTTTGAACTTCAGTGTAATAATAATACAGTAAATCTGCGTTCAGACGGTTTGCTTGTCAAATGATATATTTGTTCCTTTTTGGATCTTGACTAACCAAGATGAACTGTTATTGTATGGAAAAGAGCTGCATGAACATTCAACATGAGTAAACTGTTAAGCTGCACTCGTGTGTAAATAAGGTCCAGTTGGTTGCCTGATTTATAAGTAGCCTTAGTTAACACCCTCTTGAGATCAAAAGAGACAAGCAGAGTGTGGAAATCTGCAACCTGAGGTTTATCTAGGTGGATGTTGAAGTCTCCAAGCATAACTAGGGGAGTCCCATCCTCAGGAAAAGTTGAGAGCAGCACATCTAATTAATCCAAGAAGTTACCTTGTGGTCCTGGGGGTCGATAAACAACTACAAAATTGATTTTAAAAGGGTGGGTAATAGTGACTGAATGTGATTCAAAGGAGCTGCTAATACCCATTGAAGGTAAAGGAATACATTTACAATCATTAGAGATAAGCAGACCAGTACCTCCATCTCTTCCAGTTAGACGGGGGGAGTGGGAAAATGAGAAATTATTGGAGAGTGCTGCAGGTGTAGCATTGTCCTCTGGTTTGATCCACGTCTCTGTCAGGGCCATGAGGTTTAGTCTTGAATGACTTGTAATAGATGTAATGAAATCTACTTTGTTTACTGCAGACTGACAATTCCAGAGACCAATAGAAAAAGTAGTGTATTAGCAGACATAGGCAAAGTGCGCAGGTTGTTAGGATTGCGCTGCCTATATTGTGTGATGCGTGGTTTGCGAGTGGTAGTAATAGGGATCTGGAAACACATAGTAGGAGTTGGTCATAAAAACTGAAACAGAAGTGAAGAAAGGTGTAAAAAAGAGGTTGAGTCAAAAGCGATATTTATGTCCCTTGTCTGTGTCCCTACACTGTGGAGTCGCACGGTAGAGTCGAGGGTCTTCACACGAGGGCTGCCGTGGTGTACTATCCTTTTTTATACCCGTTTGACAAAATGGAAATTGAATTCAGCTGAACACACTTTACTGTTTATCACAACAAAGGGCTAAGCAAGCGCACGACACTGACAAAGTATGCGGTAGAGTACGAGACCAAACGCAACTTCTGCACGTCTCCACACAGTAAACAAACAAGCGTTTTCTAGCAACGACAACTGCGCTAAACACTAATGAGACAAGAAATAAATACACTTACGATCTGCTTTTAACTTCTGCTGATTGGCTGCTTCTCTCAAAGAGTATTTCTTTAATTGCAATTGTTAGTGAAAATTACACTAAAATGTTGCTATGAGAAAATATCGCACTAAATTAAAAGTTCACATGTTACAAATAAGTTACAATATTGATGTTGTAATACTAATAGCACTAATATAAAAATCTGATTATATATTTTACAAAAAAGTAACAATTTTGAAATACGTTAATGGTTGTATTTTTTGTCTTTTATCTCAGTATTCCATATGTTGTATAAGGTTTTTTTATGCATAATAGTAACCTTAGAATGTGATCAAACAGTTTAAAATAGCTGGGCTAAGATATACAGTGGGTACGGAAAGTATTCAGACCCCCTTCATTTAAGGGGGTCTGAATACTTTCCGTACCCACTGTATAACAATTATTTTGACTGTATAAATATGTTATTTCATTACACACATTATCCCACCAGTCACAATTGTGACTGACCATAAAACACAATTTTTCACACACTTTTCCAAAAAAAACCAAATAAATAAATAATAATTATTGATTATTTAAAAGGGTTACTAATGACACATCGTGTGGATATTTTCATATCTGGGAATAATTTTGGATTAAATGGTTTAATAATACATGGGTTAACACAGCTGCTTCATCATATAAATTAAAATGGTTGAATAGTATTAAAAGCAGAGCTAAAATCAATAAACCATAACTAAGCATAAGCTTTAGGATCTTCTAAATGTGTGTTGAAAATTAAGTGCATAATGCTGTAAATAGCATCCTCAGTTCCTCTCCCTTGTCTGTAGGTGAACTGTAAGGGATCTAAGATAACAACCTCTGCTTTTAACAGACATAACACACTTTTCAAAACATTTCATAATCACAGATGCAAATGCAACCGGTCTAAAATCATTGCTCTCTAAAGGCCTAGCTATCTTTGGAACAGGTATAACGTCTCAGGTTACTTATGTAAACATGGTTCCCTGAGTAGGGAACGAGACTCAGAACCATGGCGAGCACTAAGTACTAACTCTACCATATTGCTATAGGAGTCGCCCCTGGGACGTTAGACGGCTGTCAGTGACGTTATTCCCTACGGCCAAAGGCCTAGGCTACATACCCCAAAAAAGTGGCTCTGTCATTTACCTTTGTGGCATTCTTGAGCTTGTATAAAATAGTCTTGTTGAGTCTGAGCTGAAGTTCAGAAAGTGTCACTTGTGTCTGAGACTCTCTCTGGACTTATATTTATTGGGCTGCAATGAAGCAGGTGTGAAAATAAACCCTGTATATTGGAAATGTACCACAAACATTTTTTTTTTCTTTTTGCAGCACAACTGATGCTGTATCTAATAATACAAATGATGATTTAAAAGCAGCTGTGCACATCATGCTAAACAAGATGAGCCCTTCACACTCAGACCATGTTGGTTCACACTTGATGAGTGTGTTTAACAAGCCATACAGAGTCAAAGTGCCAAAATAAACACATAAGACATTAACTGTTGTATTAGCTAGAAATTCTTTTCATCAGAAGCGAGTCATGAGCCGCCATCATCGTAAGGCTTAGTCTACACTAAAATGTCAAAAAGAAACCGATCTTAGTTTAATAAGTAGACAATCAGTGCAAAATGCAAATGCAGAACCATTTGTATTGATGTAGTGTAGTTCAGTTTGAAAATGACTCATTCAGACCAGGCTGTGAACCAGTTCAAAAGATTCATTGCAAAGATTTGACTCAAAAGAATGATTCCTTTACAACTTTTTTTTTTTATATATATAAAAGTGAAAATGAAACACATTTCTCAGTTTCCTGAAAAATTGGGATGTCAGACACATGTTTGCTTTTGAAAATAACAAAACTGAATCTGTACTTGCTCAAAACAAATTTTGTCAATACATAACGTACTTCTAAGTTGATACATTGTCATTTTAAAAAGCCGATCTCTTATCTCTTTCCATTTTGAATGGTTGTTTAAAGGCATACAGTATGTGTGTTATTTAGCATTTTTACTTTGTTTACATTGTTGTATACTTTCTGTTTATATTAATACTATTAGCCATGTTTAGCACTTTGGGCCTACTGTGTAGTTTTAAATATGATGAGTGAAAAAAGAATAAATGACTGTAAACATAAGAAGCAGTGATGTGTGTTTGTGTAATTTTTCAATGTTTAAATGCTTTCTTGTATCCCAGCTTAACAGTTACCTAAATGAAAGTAGTTTGCTAGTCATGAGCCCTCAAGCCAAACCTCGGGTCAAGGCATATTCAATTATTATTTATTTATTTTCGTTTGTCTGTCTCTCTCAGGTAAGAGCTGCTTCTCCACCCTGTTTAAGTTTGAAGAGATGCAGGAGATCGTGAAGAACTTCACTGTGGTTCACGTGAACGCTCCGGGACAAGAGGACGGCACGGCCATTTATCCTGCCGGGTATGTGCTGTATATATATATATATATATATATATTATATTTCACCGATATGTATGTACATGTATATATGTATGTGCGTGTGTGCGATTGCTGAGACTTTGTGTGGGTGTTATAAAAAGTGTGAACAATTAAAATGCATTAAATGGCGTTGACACCTGCCAAAGCGTCTTCAGAAGGTGTTAGTGGTTTTACCTTCTCCGTGTTAGATGCAGACTGTGACTCAGAGACTATTTTTATGCTTTCAAATGTCTGCAGGCCACTGTGTCTTGTTTTAGACATGTTAAGAGTCCTAAAACGCTTTTATTTTCTCTGACAGATACCAGTATGCATCTATGGATCAGGTCTCTGAGATGCTCCCCGCTGTCCTGCAGTACTTTAAGTGAGTCAAAATTTACTGCATGTTTAAATCTTCATTAGTGACGCCTGCAAACGACACATATACTTGACAACAGCTCTGATCTTCATATGACTGAATGTATTACCGTTGATTGTTTTCCTCTCGTTTAGTTTCCGCACAATTATCGGTGTTGGAGTCGGAGCCGGCGCTTACATACTGTCCAAGTTCACTGTGAGTTATACATCTGACCATTGCATGCATTATTATTGTTTCTTTTTTTTTTCTTTCTTTTTAATGTGCAAAAAATACATTTTGTATTTCTTCAATCAAATAAATAATCAGTTTTTTGATTATCAGATAATTCATAATTAACAGATTATTGAATAAAAGAAAAAACATTAAAATAATATCATGGACTCTTGGAGTGATATGTAAATGACTTATGAATATGGTCATTATTCAGTTTCATGGTACAGTCTATATAGAGTACAAATACCATAATATAATATGATACAGTACATAAATACACAAATATTGGTTGGCATAGTACTTTTTTTAATCAAATTTTTAGTTTTCATTTAGGTGCATAGACTTCTGAAATTGAAACTATTTTGTTGCTCTCCATATAGTTTATTACAATATTTTCCCTTTTTATTGCTTTATCACAAAATCATTTCACTACTTTTATCTATTTTGGAGTTCAGTATGACCCTTTGGTGGATGTTGTCATAAATGGCTGCCCACTGCTCCGGGTGTGTGTTCACGGTGTGTGTGTTCACTGCTGTGTGTGTGCACTTGGATGGGATAAATGCAGAGCACTAATTCCGAGTCTGGGTCACCATACTTGGCCACATGTCACGTCACCTTTTTTCACTTTATAACACAAGCAGGCACTCCAAGACTGAATGACGTCCCCTGCTGGCCAAAATAAAAAAAAAACACCACACACTGAGGCACATTGAATATTATTACACTTTGCAGACTGTTTAAATATACAGTAAAAATGAGAAACTCTCAAAATAAACTCCATCAGCCATCTTCGATGGAGATTTCACTGTTTATCACCGGATTTTGCATTAGAATGTAGACTTATTTACAAGAAATAATGCCTTGGATTGCGACAGCATAGTTTTTCTCTCTCTCACACAGTTGACTAACCCTGACGCCGTGGAAGGGCTCGTTCTGATCAACATCGACACAAACGCACGAGGCTGGATGGACTGGGCCACACAGAAGGTCTGTCACCTGTGCATGAAGTCACAATCTGATGAATAATAACAGGCAATATGTACCCCAAAATGACTCAAACAGCTTGTGTTTCTTCTGCAGCTCTCCAATCTGACGTCTTCCCTCACAGACCAAATCCTGAGTCACCTCTTCAGTCAGGTGTGTGTGTGTGTGTGTGTGTGTGTGAGAGTGTGTGTGAGAGAGGTGTGTGTGTGTGTGTGTGTGTGAGTGTGTGTGTGTGTGTGTGTTATTCTACAATGGTGACATTAGATTAGACTGAATGTGTGTTTGTCTCTGTTAGATAAATATGTATCAGAGGGCTTCTGATCAACATGATGTAGATTGTTTTTCTGATAATGAATGACTGACTGTATATTATCATGCTTATATAGATAGATAGATAGATAGATAGACTGAACATTTTATTCCTATTGACAGTATTTTCTGATTAATAGAATGATAAAAAGAAAAACCTCAAATCCCTTCTGTAAAAAAAACAAACAAAAAAAAAAATACTACATGGTCATTTAATTTGAATAACTTGTTAATTTAATCATCTTAAAATTATTATATTGTTAGAAAATAAGATCAGTTTGTCACAAAGCAAGTGTATTTTTATATGAGCTCTCTGTTGTTTTTATTCAGATGGCGGATGCCGGCGGGATGCCACAGCTTACTCAGGTTAGTCACATCACATCATTATTTATCAATACAATTAATGTATTCAGATGAAATCTGTTTGGAGTCTAAATGAAATGTGTCTCCACAGCCAAGCAAACTGACAGAAGCGTTTAAATACTTCATTCAAGGCATGGGATACAGTAAGTGACCTGAGAGCATTTTATTGAGAAATATCACAATAATGTAAACCAACCACTGCTTACTTACACTATCATTTAAAAGTCTGGGGTCAGTAAGATTTATTTAGAAAGAAACTAGTACTTTTATTTAGCAGGGATGCATTAAATTGATCAAACGTGACAGTAAAGACATTTATAATGTTACAAAATAATTCTGTTTCAAATAAATGCTGTTGTTTTGAACTTTATATTCATCAAAGTATCCTAAAAAAATAACATGTCTGATGGTTTCTACAAAAGTAACAAGCTGTCTTCAACATTGATGATAATCAGAAATGTTTCTTGAGCTGCATATTAGAATGATTTCTGAAGGATCATGTGACACTGAAGACTGGAGTAATGATTCTGAAAATTCAGCTTTGCATCACAGGAATCAATTTTATTTTACTATATATTAAAACAGCAAACAGTGATCATATTTCAGAATATTCGTAATTTTACTGTATTTCTGATCAAATAAATGCAGCCTTGGTGCCTTTCACAAACATCTTGCCGAATCCCAAACTTTTGAACTGTAGTAATAACACAGCAATGTTTAGCTTCTCGTTATCAGTAACAAAACGTTTAACCCATTCCCAGACAGCAACATAGTGTTGGCCCAGATCCATGCAGACCAGATGTGGGCCGGATCTGGGCCAACACTGGCTGCTGTCTGGGTTAGTTTTACCTGTTTGGTGTATTTTTAATCAGAATAACTAGAGAAAACATTTTGTTGGGGAAAAAAAAAAATCGCTGACCGAAGTGTCATATTTGTATTTATGCTGTTGCGTTTTAAAAAAACAAAAATTCGGAATTTACATCTTGGAATTTTGACTTTTTCGCGGAATTCTGAGTTTGCGTCTCACAATGTTTTTTTTGTATTTAGGCCTATTAATTTGTTTGTTCCTTGTTTTTCGGCTTCTTCTTCTGTTTGTTCTCTTATGTTTGCGCTGCTTCTCTTTCTCTCTCAGTGGCGTCGTCCTGCATGACGCGTCTCTCACGCTCGCGCACCACCTCGCTCTCGTCCTCCTACTCCATGGAGGGCTCGCGCTCCCGATCCCGCACGCTGTCCCAGGGCTCACAGGGCGGACAGCTCCCGCCGAGCCCGTCCCATACCATGGAGGTGTCGTGCTGAAGAGTGCCAGAGCGGGGGAGAGAGGTGGACGGATGAAGCGCTGGAGTCCTCTGGGAAAGTGAGTTTCGTGCGTGAAGACAGGGCTCGCAGGGCGGACAGCTCCCGCCGAGCCCGTCCCATACCATGGAGGTATCGTGCTGAGAAGCACCAGAGCGGGGGAGAGAGATGGACGGATGAAACGCTTGAGTCTTCTGGGTGGCAGAACGTGAGTTTCGTGCGTGACGACGGACGGATGATGACAACTCTCTCCCTCCCTTCACCGACCCGTCAGGCAGATGATAGAGCCCTTTAACTCTGTGACATGGGCGGGGCCTTTAGTGAGACCCAAATGTAGTGTTAACCAATAGTAATACTTCTAATATGAATATTGATTATTAATAATAATAACGACGAGCGTCACTGACAAAATAAACAACGATGTTTCTCCTATTTACATGTTGAATTTCTAAACAAAAGTATAGAGAAAAGAGTATATAAGCTCATAATGTGTGTCTATCAACTTCTTTGTGATTATTATTTTTTGGTGTGCTTTTTTCGTTTTTGTATTCTGTATAATTTTTTTCTGTTATACAATCCTGCTGCTGTGAGTGGGGTGCAGTATTGTTGGAGATGGTGGCGAAAGTTTTCAGCCGAAATACTCGTCTGTGTAGATGACAGCCACCTCATGTCTTCCATTTGCCCTTAACGAGAAAGCTATACACATAAAAGCGAGAAAGAAAAAATACTGTAATTATATATTTTTTTGTTTGGTTGCGGGGTTGGGGCCACTGGGGTCTTTGCTTCTTCTGAAATGCATGCCAGAATTTTCTTGACCACATTTTCTTACCGTCTATAATTTTTTTAGCATTTTTTTTTTAGTGGATTTTACGTTCATTTTTATTTCAGTGAGAGAGTGTGCTCATACATAGGAAAGAACAGCGAGAAAGTCACAGGAATCGTTGTTTTGAAGTCAAGTGACATGAGGTTCACATTTATATCTGTGATGTGATGTATTTTCATAGAAACCGGACATAAACATTGGACAGGGAGTAATCTGTGAGGAATTGATTAGATGGTGAAAAGGTGTCTGTGTGATGATGGTGGTTGGGAATACAAGAAATCAATGCCGGAAGCCGAAAAGGAAAGTTGTTTGAGCGAGTTTGATGAAAGATTACGAAGACTAACATGCACTGATGAATCGCTTATAGTAAGAGCAGAAACACGAATCAAGAAAGTAATAAAATCAATTTCAAGTTGACCTTCAGGTGAGGGCAAGATTGGTAGAAGAGTCGGACAAGTGCTTCCATCATTGAGTGTGTTTACATGTACAATGAAATCAGCTAATTTGTAAAACACATCTCTGAAAGTCACTAAATAAAAGATACCGCAAGAAAATATGCCAGTATTTAAGCCTACATGAGACATTCGCATCCTTTTTTCTAGTCACAATCACAAAAGTGCACGTCAGCTCCCCAGAGGAAATGTGTGGCTAAATTTAGAAATATTTTCTAGTTGTATGAACGAGAAACTAGAAATTTGTTCTGCGTGTGTCATAACTAAGCCGACAGAACACCCATAAAGACATTTAAACCCGGTCTCACAAGAAAGCGTACCCATTTACGTGTTTGCGAATTTGGACGAATTCAATTCGCCAAAGTGTGAAGTACTTACAGAGTGTCATGAGGGTATGGTGGGAATTTACGTGATCAGGTGTTTGGCTTTTAGAGGCTTTCCCCTATAAAAGGCCACCGTTTAAGGAATTATTAAGTGTAACTGGTGCAAAATCACACATGTAAACACTTAAGGTCTTTGCACACTGTGTCCGAAATTCTCGTCCAAAATTTTCGCACGTTAAAAAATAAATACGATCTCACGTTGTGTCAATCACGTTTACTGCCTCCGAAACTTTCGTCCGTCATAAAAATAAATAAATAAATACAAAAATTCTGATCAGGTTCGATATTCTGCGTTTTCGCATCCGTAGCAAGCATTATGATAGGAAAGGATGACGAATCTGAAAAAAAAAAAAATAATGGAAATTTCGGACTCTGTGTACAATGACCTTTATTCATACGTCCAGTTATAAAGCAATCACCTCAACTACTAGTTTGAGAAATAAAATACCTGCAGGATTAATAATAGTGGTGTTTATTCAAGCAAATGCTGACTTGAAAACAGTAATTCATCTACAGTGCACTCTCAATAAATTAGTTGCCAATTTCGTATGAATTCGTACGATATGATTCGTACATAAACATACAATTTACCGAATAGAGGTAAGCATACAAGTCCACCTCTAAACTGCCTCTAAAGTGGGCAGATCGTGCAAATTCACATAAATTAGCCAGCAAAACATAAAATACTGACAAACTGAAATGAGAGTGTATTGTGAGTTTTTGGATGTGTACCTTAGATTTGTGGACACGTACCATGGTATTTTTTTTTAAGTACTTTGGAGTACAATAGCATTTTAGGCTACAGTATAAATATGGTAACCACCTAGTACTGTAATAGCAAAGACCTTTAGTCTTGCCACTGATGCATCACTGTACCATGGCACAGTAACACAGTACTTTGTTGTAACCTGTTAGTACGCTAGTAAGTGTTTGGTTGGAAACGTTGAGGTGGACTCATGGTGATGGTGACGTTTGTCGTTTTGAATGGCCGTTCCTTGATTTAACGTAACTTGAGAGCTTTAGCTCTGGTTTGAAGTGTACTTAAAGCCATGGTGTGATCTAATGCTGAACCATAGTGACTTGTACACAGAGTAAAACAGTATGTGTGGACATGCCTGAGTGTGCGTGCGGTGCTTTAACTTTACATCACAATAAGGGAATACGTGCGAGTTTGTTCAGAAGAATGACGCTTCAAAGCAATTGTGTAAAATTCACTTTGCTGATTAACCAGCCCCTTCACTGCCAACAGGGTTTAGCCATGTTATTAACCCATTAGCTCCAAGAGCTCTTCCAATTGACAAGCCATTGAGATTAGCAGGTTAGCGTAGCTGCAATGTTTAAACTTTAAACATGTAGACGATTTGATATACAGCGCTCGAAAGAATACCAAAATCACTGCGTTTTTGCTATATTTTTAACACGATTGCTAACACTTGCCAATAACAACATAGGCCAAAACCTCACAACTGCAAATGCATTGTAACAATCACTTTCAGCAAAACACTGCCCTGAAAATGACAGTAAATCGGAATAAGCTAATCAACGTTAATTGGAGAGTTCGCCCAGTGTTCGTAGAGATTCTCAAATCACATAATTTTTTTTTTTTAGACACGTTTTCTATTGTTCATGACAGAACATTGGCTTTGATGGGTTGTGCAAGTGGGAAACATGGTATTTTTCTTCTTTCTTTTTAATGGAAAATTTATTTTGAGACCATTGTTGGAATCTTGATAATTGTGTTCAGCGTAAAGACTGCAAGATCACCCCAGATTCACTGGAGCCTTTACCAAAAGTACAAATAGATGGAATCTGAACATTTTACCAAATACATAGAGAAATAACCATAATAAATGTGAGAATAATGACACAATAAAATAAACATTATGGGGAAAGGAATGGATCAGGTCGTGACGTGTGTTGGGACGGTGTGAATGTAAATGTGTGTCCATTTTTTTTTTCTTTTTTTATTTTTAACTCTCCTCAATGAAACCCTTTTATTTTCTGTGAAGTAGATTTGCGTCTCAATGTCCTCATGGGTTAGACATCAGTGTGCTAGTTCTTGTGTAACTTTTTTAGCTTTAGCACTAAAATAGGAAATAATGTAATTAACAAAAAAAAATGTTATGAATAACAGAATGCAATCAAAATTAATCGTGTGGCTAATTTCTCTTGTGTAATACTATGAACAACTGGAAAAAAAAAGTAATTAAAGGGATCAAAATGACATTGTTATTTGAGTCTTATTTTCATATGTACCTTTTGGTCATGTAAAATATTATTATGTGGTCCTGTGACAATCTATTTTTAATTGGTCACTTATTTTTAATTGAGGATACTTAAAATGTGACTCATCAGGAATAAATACATGAAACATTTGCACTTTTAAAATGTGAATATGTAAGTTTAACATTTAAAGCTCTGATATTTCGGAAGATCTTTTTGGGTTCCAGTTAATTTCACGCATATGTGTGATTATGGTTATTAGTATTTCAAATACTTGTTTGCTTATATATATATGTATATATATATATATAAGAGAGTGTTTTTTGTAGTCCATGGAGCAATAAAAAGTGTTTTCTAACTGATTATTAAAACATTTGTATATATTTGGCAGTTAATGCATTACTTTTGTTTTTTAGTCATTATCAAAAATTGATGTTCAAATTTTCTGAAATTTGAAGGTGTATTTAGGGTATATTTGTTCAACTCTTCAATTTGTCTTCACTACAGTTCATATTAAATGCTCATAAGAAAGCATCCCATGTAAACATAGCAAAAGTGTTTCATATTAACCACATTTCTCTCTTTAAAAGTATTAGATGTTAATGCTGATTTTAATCCGTTTGAGCTTTCACAAGCCTGTTAATCCCTAGTCTATTTTTAGATGTAGTCTGGGTCAGATGAAAACAAAATGTTACTTGGCAGATTGTGAGACACTCATGTAATAGTTTTATTCTCTCTATAGAAAACTGGACCATGGTTGCTCATGTGTCTGCTGTGGGCGGTGTTGATACACAGCTCTGTTTGTTGCTAGAGAGCAAAAATCACGTCTAACAGAAGAACAATAAGTGGAAGTGCTGAAACACAATCCCATAATTCATCGAAACGTACAATTACCCAGCAGGTCAGAAAGGGGTTTCCACAGAGATCACAGATCTGACTGCTAACACAAACACTTATAAACCTCACTGACCGACCAACTGATGTGACAAAGGCACAGAGAGCAGGTATGTCAACCTTCATGATCTTCACTAATATTCAAAGTAGTTTAATCTGACTGAAAGAGTCTATAAAGACTAGTTTAAACATTAAACTTGTTTACATCATTTACTCTTTTTCTTTTTTTTATCTTGACGGTCACAGTTGTGTTATCGGATCATACATTTCTATAAATTAATAATTGATTAGCTAGATTAATATACTTTATATTTATAACCTACTTGTAGAATTAAAGCAGTTTCCCTGCGGATGACTAAACACTGACATTATTTTCTAGAACCGTTTAATCAGAAGAAAGAAGACATCAAAAGCACCACGGTATTTTGAAACAAGATAAACAATATTTTAACTCCAGCAAACACAAAGGCGCCAACATGTTGTGATGAGTAATAGGCCTATATGCTTATTGTATATTTCCATATTTATTACTACTACTAATACTATTATATATATATATATATATATATATATATACATATTACAACAGTAGTCACATAAACTGTGTGAGTAACTGCATAATTGTATTTTTATTGTACGTTTTATTGTACATTTATATACTTTTATTATAAGTTTTGTATGTTAAATCTTATTTTTAACGTAAGAACACTGCAGCCATTTGTAAGAATGTGCCAGGCTTCCAGTTATTTTATCTGTACAAAAACAGTCCGTTATGCTGCTTAATGTTGCAAACTGTTATTTATTATCACATTATTTTTAATTAATTATAAACACCCTGGTTAGTAGGGTCATTTGCCATTTGCCCCTTTACTGCACTTCGTTCTAGCTATTTACTTATATCGGCTAATAAATCG